ATGTTTCATTCCCCATTTGTGGTGGGTTTAAATAACAAACTCCTGAAAGTTATTGGGGAACAGGGTAGACTGGATTTTGAATGACCCATGTTCTCTTTATGTCTTGTCGTCAATGTCCTGTGTTTTATTGTATGTTTTATTTTAAAAAACAACTTTTAAAATGTAATGGAAATGGACTCACTCATCCCTAGTCCATCCCTAGTATTTACTAACCTTAAAACCAAAAGGAAGGGTCCATAGCATCCTAACTTTCCACCAAGGCAGGTCTGGAGAACCTGTAGTCCTCTAGAGGTTGTTGGGACTACAGCTCCCATCAGTTCCTAACAGCATGGCAGCCAGGAACAGGTGCCAACAGGTCAGCAATAACTCACATGGTGTATGTTAAGTCTTTATTAGAAGAAACAGGATCTGCTATGGGGAACCTGGTCCAAAGAGCACAGCAACTCTTCTCAGTAGATCTCGCCTCTATGAGGCAGTTGTGGAGACTGAAGGTTCCCACTTTCCCAGTTGCCTGAGTCTCCTCTTGTCCTGGGTCCTTCCCAAGCAATCTGAGACTACACTGACATGGATGGCTCTGCTCCTCCCTCTTCATACCTCTTCTGGTTCTGGAAGACCAGTTGGGAGGGGAGCTTGTCACAGCAGGAGCGGGAGACGCCCTGGCTTCTTTGCCAGCCTGACTCATCTGTCTCCTGACCCCTTTCCTCTCCTGCCTCTGATTCTGGACCGCTCTCTGCCACAGCCTCTTCCTGCTCACTAAACCCTGTTGCCTCTTCAGCTTCCACCACCTCCTCCTCCAGTCTTCTCCCTCTTACCACTCATTGTTGTCCCACAACCAGTCCCCAGGCTTTGAACCTCGATCCCTTGGGGCCTCCCATTGATCCTCTTCGTCCAACCAGCCCATCTGTCTATAGCAAAGGACAACAGGAGTTGTAGTTCAGCACTTTTTAAAAGTGGGGTTGTAGATCAAAAGCATCACATGCAACACAGGCTTAAAAGACAACTGTTTATTACAGCATATTGATGCATTATATTAATTTACATAGCGATATGATTTTTATATAGCTGTAAAACACAGCTGCTTATTGGACAATGACTGAAGTATCAACATGACAGACGCTCATGCTCACAACATGCATATTTGTGTGTGTTTTAAGAAAGTGAATATTATACAATATACTATTATTATTTTTTTAAAAAAAACAACAACAACCAAACCTTTCTTGGTTTTCCCCAGAGTTCACAGGGTGGGAAATCAAGAATACTGAATACTGGGTATAGTTCTGGCTGCCGCATCTCAAAAAGGATATTGCGGAACTGGAAGAAGGTTCAGAAATGTTCAAGGAGATGCAGCGAAAAGTTGCAGTGTGTGTGTGTGTGTGTGTGTGAGAGAGAGAGAGAGAGAGAGAGAGAGGGGGGGGTTAGTTTAGGGGAAATAAGGCCAGGAAAGGGGTGGGCATGTTAAGAGGATTATAAAATCACAGATGGCATGAAGTAGAAATAAAGTTTTTCTCCCTTTACCGAACCCAAGGTCATCCAAGAAAGCCAATTTATCCCCATCTGCACTATGCATTTAAAGCACTATCATACCACTTTAAACAGTCATGGCTTCCCCCAAAGAATCATAGGAACTGGGGCTTGTTGAGAGTTGCTAGAAGACCCCGTTCCCCTCACAGAGCTACAATTTCTAGAGCAATTCAACATCCAATCCCTCTTCCAATGACATCTGCAGGGTCACATCTGACTGTCCTGACATCATCATGAGCACAAACCATGATGATCAAAAGCACTATTTTAAAAAAAGGGATGGTTAGTGGGAGCATCTGGGAACTGTGGTTCTTCAAAGAGCACAGGGGCCCTCTAGCAATTCTGGGCCATCCTTAACCAACTACAGTTCCCAAGATGCTTAGGTGACTATCTAAAGAGGTATGAGACTGCTTTGTAAGTTGACAGCGCCTAGCCAGAGTCCAGGCTAGAAGACTTCTTCACGCAGCACAGAATAAATAATGGAATTTGCAACCAAACGTGGCGACAGCCAACTTGTGGCCGCTTTAAAAGGGGATTAGACAAATTCATGGAGGGTAAGGCTATTGATGGTTAACTAGTCAGGGTGCCAGAATACTACCTCAAGAACCAGAGACACCACGCCACTGAATGTCACGTCACAGGGGAAGAAACGCAAGAGCTTTGAGCTCATGTCCTTCTCATTGGCTTTCCAAAAGAGACCTCTGGTTTGTCACTGAGAAATAGGATGCTTGACTAGAAGATGGTGTGTTGTTCTGAACAGGCACACAGCTCTTTACACGTCCTTAAGACATGAAGTATAGGGACGCGGGTGGCGCTGTGGGTTAAACCTCAGCGCCTAGGACTTGCCGATCGTCAGGTCGGCGGTTCGAATCCCCGCGGCGGGGTGCGCTTCCGTTGCTCGGTCCCAGCACCTGCCAACCTAGCAGTTCAAAAGCACCCCTGGGTGCAAGTAGATAAATAGGGACCGCTTACCAGCGGGAAGGTAAACGGTGTTTCCGTGTGCTGCACTGGCTCGCCAGATACAGCTTGTCACGCTGGCCACGTGACCCGGAAGTGTCTTCAGACAGCGCCGGCCCCCGGCCTCTTAAGCGAGATGGGCGCGCAACCCCAGAGTCGGTCACGACTGGCCCGTACAGGCAGGGGTACCTTTACCTTTAAGACATGAAGTAGACAGGGCCTGCACAGCATAATCTGAGCCGCAAACGTGGCATGGAAAGAAACGGCTACACCCTAACTGCATCACATTTTATGCTACGGGATAGTCCCATACAAAGCCCAGGAACATATTAACCAGAGAAGCGCAAGGCTGGATGAAGCACCAAAGCTCATAATCCCTACTCAAACCAAAGTTCGGACTGTACTGCAAACACCAGGTCTTTTTGTTAGGACACACATCGAACTCGTTCCTTCTGCAGTGTCCATTCAGTGTTCCTCAGAGATTGCAAATCTCCGTGTTTCTCAGCCGCCTAATGCCCTTATCTGAAGCACTGCCTCATAATATTGCCAAGGTTGTTCCTTTCCACATGACACAAGAGCAGAGGCTGCTATTTCGACAGCAGGGAATTTTTGTTTATTCTTAAAGTTAGCAGTTAGCCAGACCTGGTGAGCAAAAAGAGTGGAAGGTATTCAGTCACTGTGGCCCTTCAGGTCTTTCTGTCTGGCCCCTGGGACTCAGCCCCACTCACCTCAGCCTGCCCATTTCACAGAATCATAGACTTGTAGAGTTGGAAGGGACCCTACGGGTCATCTATTCCAACCCCTTGCAATGCAGGAATCTCAGCTAAATCATCTGCTTTCTCCTCCTTACTCTGCCCTTGCAAAACTCAGCCTATCACACATTATAGATCTGATGTCTGCTGGGCTCCCCACTTTCTGCCCTACCTGCTGTCCCTGCCCCCCACAGCACCAAGCTCCCTGCTGCCTCTCCTGGCAAGTGGCAGCAGCCCCACAGGAGGGAAGCCAGGTGGGCCCTGCAGTGCAAACCAACCTCTGACTGAATGTAAGCTACCTTAGGAAAGGTAAGAACCATCTCCCTGTTGCTCCACCCACTCCCCCTCTAGCTCCACCCACTCCCCTCTGGCTCCACCCACCACTTCCGCAAGGCTGTCTAGGAGTGCTTACTTTTCATAGCACATCAGGGGTAAGAACGGACTTTGGGGGCTATCAACTTTCACAGCCTTCCAAGCCTTGGTTCAGGCCAAGGAGAAGGGACTGTCGCTTGGTGGTACAAGTCCATGCTTTGTGCGCAAAAAGATCTCTGCTTCAATCCCCATCTTCTCTGGGTAGGGCTGGGAACATACTTGTTCCCCACAGAGCTCCTGACAAGTCCTTGTAGACCAGAGGGAACCCACGTGGTCTCCTCCAACTATGATTCCCAATGCCTCCGCCCATTTTCCATGCTAGTTTTGGGTGGCAGGAGTTCAGCAAGACCATTGGCCTTGGCGGAAGAGAGCTTCGCAACTGGGTAAGAGAACAGGGAGCTGCCTTAAAACAAGACACAACATAGGGTCATCTAGCTCTATATGGTCTACTCGGACTGGCAGTGGCTCTCCAGGGTTTCAGAAATGGCTCTCTCCTCACCTTACCCGGCGATGCCAAGGGCTGGACCTGGGACCTTCAGCATGGAAGGCAGATGTTCTGCCACTCAGCTGTAGTCCCAACTCTGTCTCGAGTTGTTACAACTAGGCAATGCACATGGATCATGCTGAACAACTGCATCTAAAAGGCTTCTTCCCAACCTATTGGCTGAAACTACAAACGTTTAGGGGAAGGAGACCAGGGTGGTTGTTTTGTGCAAAAGGCCTGCAAGTACATCTTATTTATCTGCATGCCTGTCTCCTGCCACTACTTATCTCTGCTTGGGGTTCTAGGTAAAAACAAGGCAGATGTCAGTAGCCTGATCCCTGCCCACCTGTTCCCTAAAGCATCTCCTCCAATCTGGCAATTATTATTATTTTTAAGTCATTTTTTATTTTAACCCCCCCCCCCGAAAAAAACCCCTACTTATCCTAAACAATTAACCCATTTGGAGATTTTGACATTCCCAATTATCTGTTTAGGTGGTTTTGGAATACAATCTTCACGTATTAAAATCTTGCACGTTGATACTGAACATTACCAGAATCTAAGTTGCACGTATATTGTTTTGTTTTTTAAGTATCCCCATAGTGTTGAAGTTCAAAACACGTGAAAATCGGTTTGCAAGTGGAAACAGTGGATTTCAGAATCCGGACCCTTTACTGAATTTCAAGATCTGTGCAATATTTTGTTTCAGTGCCTCATTTGGAGTTTGGAACACAACTTCAAGGTCTTGGTTCTCAGCCGCGAGCACTAGAGCTTGTTCTTAAAACAAGGCAAAAAATAATAAGCATTTAGAGGGCACGCTCTTGAGATTCCAGGTCATCCAGCAGATTCTGCTACAGGAAACATTGGGCGCTGTGTCCAACCACAGCCAATGAGGTTTTCTGAACCAGGGATGGAAAACTGGGGTGGACCACCTCTTTAATATCTGTGGCTTGCAGGGATTTTAAAACAAAAATACAAGGCACCTCAGTCTCTGCTATCAAGGAAGAGTGCTTAGCATGAGCAGCACTGATGCTGCAACTGGGAAGGGATGGGAAGAGACCAACAGCTCAGAGGTAGAACATGTGCAGAAGGATCTTTGATTCAGCCCCCAGCATCTCAAGGACATCATTTAGCCATGTTCAGAAAGAGGTCCACCTGCTAGCCAGACACTGGGTTAGCTGGACCAGTGCCCCTAAGGCAAATTCATATTTCCACAGCTCAAGGGCAGAACACCTGAAGGCCACAGGTTCAATCCCCGGGATCTCCAGGTATATGGATGGCAGGTGGTGGCATGACCGACCTAGACAATGCTGGGCCAGATTGACAAATATTCTGATCTGGGATAAGGCAGCCTCCTACGAGATCCTAATAATGAATTCTAGTTTTATTTTTTAAAAATTAAAAACCACATCCAGACAACTCTAGGGATTCTGTTTGGAAAAAAGGAAGGAAAAGGAAGACCGCGGGAGAGGGAAGTCACGTTGCCCCTGCTCAAAAAAAGCCACCAGTCTTCTTTACATTGTGTGTGTTGCATGCATGTCAATGGTGTGTTTCTGTCTCTGTAAGAAGAGGTAGAGGAGCAACTTTTCTGTATGAAACAAGGATGTTTAGAAGCCAAAGTAAGGTTCAGCATAGGTCCAGATGCCCTTCAACCCATCCCCGACTAGGAGAGAAATCAACGCTCGCTGCAGACGTTTTTTCCACTCCACTATGCACTTGAAGCCATCACAGCTGAAAAAGTGGTGGTACTGTTCCTTTGTTAAAAACTAGCACAGTGGGTTTTGCCACTTAAAAGGCACTAGTATCCAACAAAAAAGTTGGGAGGTTCAAGTAACATCATTTAGGCAGTCCGTCAAGATTTAAATATGTGCATTTAAGGAACTCAAAACAGCATTCTGGGAAAATATTTACAAGAAGCACCTTGTTTCGTGTAAGTAGCGAGAGGCGCGCATACACGCTCGGCACGTCTGCATGAGACCGTCGTTTTGGCATATTAGCACACGTCCGGGAAGGAGGGAAGCAGCACCAGAAACCAGGGAGGGTAAAGTTTCTGCATAGAGAAAGGCTTTGCTCCTTTTTCTGCTATAGCAGGCTTGCAAATAGCCACTTGCCCGGTCGCCTAGGGCGAGTCATCGTCACCATCGGGCGACCAAGCAAGAAAGCTTTTGTAAAGTGGAAGAGAGCTTGCTCTGACCACACTATCCCTCCTGCAAGGCTTGCAACATGCATAAGTGTGCACAGGTGTGTGTGGTCTGGCGGGAGAGTAAATGTTTTGTGAGCTAGGCACCTGCCCTCTTTGCAAAGCTGTTATTTACTTTATTTGTTTATTATATCTGTTTGCTGCCCTTCATCTGAAGGTCTCAGGGCAGTCTGTCTCAGGAAGGGCCTTGAGATGTCCCGGAAGGGGCAGTACTTGCCACAGCCCAAGTTATGTTAAATGCATAATTTGCCATGGCCATTGTTATTGTTATTACTATTATTTAAATAAACAGCTCCTGCAGGGGAGTTACTAATCAGGATCAGGACCGCAATGAAAAGATTAAAAACAAAACAAAAAACCTTCCCCCCCAGCGCCGTGAGCCCACTCAAATCAACTCTCTGAAACTCCCCCCCCCCCTTTTCCCATGCCAAACAATAGCTTCTTGGAGGGAGTGGGAAGGGAATTTTCAGCAGCGCAGAAGAAAAGGGTTAACTGCTCATCTCCCTGTCCATCACAGTCCCAAAACTGATTCTCCCCTGTCCCAATGGCTGGCTATTTAGTGTTAAAATAATAATAATCACACAGCACCACGCTTTGCATTTAGGATATATATTGCTTGCTCCCTCGGTATCTCAATAAAAAGCTAGTAACTTCCCTTCAATGTTCTTCAAAGACTGGAGAGGCAGCCTTGGAAGCTTGAAGCATCTACCTGCAAGCGGATTTGGCAAGCAGCATCCTGGTTTGGTGTTTTGGGCAGGCACCTGGCATGCAACCCCACAAGAACATCTACTGGCCCCAGCTTAGCATTTCGAAAAGAAGCCAAGAGGAGCTGCTCTCGCTTGCAAGTATTTCCGGGCTGCTCTTGGTGCAAGTGGACAACCTTTGAGCGTAAGCTGGCCAAGGAGAGGTCAACTTGACTGTTGGGCACGTGGTCATAGGGGAGAGAGTCTTCTGCAAGCCTCACGGGGCACCAGCTTTTTCACCTGACTTGCTGCCCAGCACCCTCATGAGACAAAGGGGCTGCTCAAGTATCCTTGTGGGGAATGCTCTTTGCCTGCCAGAAAGACCGATGTGCACGGGTTTTAATACTGCCGAAACGTTTTGAATTGGCATCGTTCGCATTTGCTCCATGTTGCGCTTGCATTATTGTCTTTGTATGCATCTGTTTGTTCTTGGGAGCACTTTTGGCTGGCAGGCAGCATGTATACACAAACAGTAACACAACACAACATGGCTGCCTCTCTGGAGGGTGGCAGGCTGAGCGCTTTGCTGCTCTCAGCAAAGGACTAGCAAAGGGCCCTGTGCCTTCCAGCACGAGATGAATTCTCCGCTGGGGCACCTCGCCTCTTGCAAGGGAAGCCCCCCCCCCCCCGAAAAGTGCATTTTCTCTTGAAGCTGGCTTGTGTTGCTTCTGTGCCCTGAATAAGTGTGCCCAAGACACATCGAAAAGTCCCAAATGCAGACATACCCTTACATCACGCCTCCCCTACCTGGTGACCTCCAAATGTTTTGGACTACAACTCCCATGAGCCTTGACCACTGCAGTCCCCATGCTCCCCGACCTCTGCAATTCCCATAATTCCCAACCACAGCAGTTTCCCCTGAACCCCGACCTCTGCAGCTCCCATGACCTCCAAACTGCAGCAATATAAAACTGCTAGCACATTTGCAAAGCTAAGCAGGGTCCAGTATGGTTTGAAATTGGATGGGGGACTGCATGCTGAGATTTCTGCATTGCAGTGGAGTTGGACTTGATGACCCTCAGGGGTCCCTTCCAACTCCCCACAAATGTCAAAGACATTTGGAGGTCACCAACTTCGAGAAGGCTGCCTTAACACACACACTCTTCCCCCCGTAGGCATGTCAGTCACCACTGCCGCCATCTTCAGCTACTAGTTATGCCTTTCAGACAGTAGTCATCAGTTTGAGAGAGCCGGACCGAAAGCGGAGGATCTTCTTCTTGAGGTTGTGTGAGGCTTTAATCTTGACGAAGGCTTTGGCTGCGTTTTCGTGGAGCTCGGAAGCGGCGGCCACCGCCTGGATGGGGAGCGTCTGCACAAACTGGGACCAGATGAGCCCCCCGCTCTCATCCGAGTCGCTGGTCGTTGTGCTCTCGCCCACAAACTCCACCTCGCTCAGGCTGGACTCGCTGTCCCCAAAGCAGTTCGTGGTGTAGTTGCTCCTCTCGTCCTCGCTGGTGTCCACCACCGTCGAGTGGAAGAGCGACTCGCACTCCGCCGAATACTCCGAGTCGCTCGCGACATAGGCGTAGGGGCTGGCGTACGGGTGGGGAGCCTGAGGGTAGGCCCCAAGGCCTTCCCTCCGGTTCCTCCTCGCCCTCCTCAGGGCTTCTTCATAGGAGACCTTGGCCGACAGCTTCCAGCGGCGATAGTCGGCCCTCTTGTGCTTCGGTTTCGCCACCACCGGCTCCCGGCTGTGGGGCCTAACCGCCGACTTGAGGACGCCGGGAGGCCGACTCAGGAGGGCAGCCTCCGGCGGCAAGTGGCCGCTTTTCTTCCCTCTCGTGGCGGCCTTCTTCAGCTTCTTATTTGTATCCAGGTCGTCGGAGAAACGGCACTTCTTGCCGGAGGGTTTGGCCTTCTCCCTGCCAGTCTGTGGCCCGTTTTCCAGCACGGTGACGAGGTGGGATCTGTGCTTCACCAAGGAGCTTTTGAGTATCCTGACGCTCCGGCTGCCCTTGTGAAGCCTGACCGTCTGTGGCTGAGCCGGGATGTATTTGGCGTTCACCAGCAGGCCTTCCTCCAGGCCCTGAGAGGACAACCCGTCGCTCTTGAAATCCAGCGGAGGCCTGGTTTCCTGAGGCGGCAAAACACCGTGGACCGCTTGCGGCCCGCTGTTTTTGAACAGGATTTTTCGGGGCAGCTGGAGGGTTTTGCTTTCCTTCGGGGGCGTTGCGTGTTGGGGAGGGCTCTCCGCAAAAATCTGGCCGCTTTCCTTGGGGACGTCGCCCTTGCTTGAGACCGGACACCGCGGCGGCTCTGGCGGTTTGACGTTCCTCGCCGCCTGCTGGCTTTGAAGTTCGTGGTTAACATTTGGTGGGAAGACCACGGGAGAAGGAACCTTTTTGCTCTCCAGATGCTCAGTTTCTCTCGAATGCTGCTTCAGAGGGGAGAAGGCGCTGCTGTCAAGCGGTGTGCTGGCTCTGCTGGAATGGGGGAAGACCTGGTTTGGGTTCTTGAGAGCAGCGGCCGAACTGCCGCTTGCAACCCCAGGCACTTGCCGGACACACAGGCTCCCGTGCCTCAAAATCCCTTTGGCGGGGTCTGCATTCAGATTCGTCCTCAGTTTGTTAGTCCGCACCGAAGGGGTCTTTTTTTGCACAAGGCTCAAGATGTAGCCGTCTATTTTCCTGCTGGCTGGGGGACAGGACTCGGGAGGAGAGCTATGCGGGAGGCAGGAGGCGCCCGCTTTCGCAGAGTCGTGTTCGGGTCCCACACAAAGGTCCGCAACATTGTGCTCTCCCTCTTCCCTCGGGGGGTTGTCTGTCACCGGCAAAAGGAACATGGGGCTCTGCACCGCGACGGCGTGTAAAGGGCTGGGGTAGCGGTAAACATCGTTCCCGTTTTTCGACACCAGGTCACACTGGTATTTTGGATGCACGTCTGCAACCACCTCAAGGGAATTAGAGTGCGGTGTGGACAACACTCGGGAGGCCATCCCCACAGATGGGTCTTCATGCTGGTTCCCTTTGTTATATTCCAGCCAGCCGATGAGATCTGAAAGGAAGAAATGGGGGAAAGTGAGGAAATATTCCACCGCCAAAGGAAACAACAATATCCGTGGGTGGTAAATAGGCTGAGAAATTTTAACCTTCCAAAAACCAAAGTTCAAAATCTATATCCAGAAATGCTCAAAGACACAGTTTCCGGTAGAATTCAGATTTCTCATAATGCTACAGAAACATGGATTTCTCCCACAAAACAAGAAACGACCTTAACAAATACTAGATTTTAAATATTGCTCCTCTTGGTCATGGCAGGGCTCCCCTGTCTGTATTTTCTTTAAATGTTCCTGGCTATATGAATGTTCCCACCAAAACTCAAACCTTAAAAGATGGAAACTGAGTCAGCTTTCAGCAAGGCTTCGCTTCATCCTTTCACTTTGAGCAACAAGAGATCCTTGGCCTCAGCCCAGTATACCTGAAGGAGCGTCTCTACCCCCATCGTTCTGCCCGGACACTGAGGTCCAGATCTGAGGGCCTTCTGGCAGTTCCCTCATTGCGAGAAGTAAGGTTACAGGGAACCAGGCAGAGGGCCTTCTCGGTAGTGGCACCCACCCTGTGGAACGCCCTCCCACCAGATGTCAAAGAGAACAACAACTACTAGACTTTTAGAAGACATCTGAAGGCAGTCCTGTTTAGGGAAGTTTCAAATGTTTGATGTTTTATTCGTTCCGGAGGCCCGTTCTTAACTTGAAACTATTCTTAGCCTGAGGTACCACTTTAGCTAATGGGGGCCTCCTGCTGTGCTATTTCTGTTCTCATCCTGAGGTAAAGTTCTTAACCCAAGGTAGTACTTCCGGGTTAGCAGAGTCTTTAACCCGAAGTGTTTGCAACCCGAGGTGTTTGTAACCTGAGGTACCACTGTATTCTGTTGGGAGCCGCCCAGAGTGGCTGGGGAGGCCTGGCCAGATGGGGGGGCTATAAATATTATTATTATTATTATTATTATTATTATTATTATTAAGCACACCTGTATGGCTCTTATTTGGAGAAACAAGTCTTCTGTATCAGTAGGCTTGATCCCCAAAGTCCGGGTGTGACCCTGGTTGACCCAGCAGCCCCCATGGATGGAACCAAAAGTTGTGTGTCCCACAAGCAACCTCCAGTCCCACATGGCTCACTTCCTGCATGCACTTAAAGAATGCAGAGGTGAATGGGGAAAGGTTCATGGGGCTCAAGCCGTCCCCGAAGCCACTCCAGGGAATCCCGTCCCCCTTTCCCGTACCTGCAGACATGGGCCGTCCATCAGAGCCGCTCAGGGATGTGTCCAAAGGGCTGCAGAAGCAGGTGCTGGAGTGGCAGCTGGACAAACACTCGCTGAAAACAGAGTTGGAGGAGTTGGAGAGCGACCCCGAAGCCCCGTCGCTCAGCTCATAGAAGCCTGTTTAAAAAAACACAACACAAAAAACCCCATTAATCATGCGACACCTAGTTGATAGAGAAAGCCAAGGCTGGAAAGTAAACACATAACACACGTTACATAATACACCTTACAGCCATGTCAATGAATGAATGGATGGATGGATCTTTATTTGCATCAGCCATCAGCCATAGCAATAAAACAACAATGCAATATACAAAGAATAGAAATAAAAAGTCAATTATATAAAATACATTTGAAGGTTTTGAATCAATAGTCGAAGAGTGGGTCTTTTTCTGATTGCCCCAGCTAAAAACCTTGCAACCGTTGCTGTCGCCTGCTGATCTTGATCTGCCAAGAGAAAGGACACTGGGGCAGTGGTTGGGCGACCCGGAATGGACAATAAAAGAGGGGTGGTAATCTCATCCCTCAAGTCTTTATAAAGAGTGCGAGCCAGAAGGGTGTGCGCCACCGATTCAGTACTGCCATCTCCACAGGGACATAAGTGTTTCTCGTGTTCCTGGGAGTGAGAATATACCACTGTACTTCAGCTTGGCAGCTGCAGCTATAAACCGAGGCTGAAATGAACAATACCGTTCTGGCCAAATACCATATTTTTCGCTCTATAGGACGCACCGGACCATAGAACGCACCTTGTTTTAGAGGGGGAGAACAAGAGAAAAAAATTCTCCCCCTCTCTGCTCAGCGCCCCTTCAGCGAAGCGACAGGAGAAACGGAGCCCCTTCCATTTCTCCTCCCGCTTGGGTGAAGGGGCGCTGTGCAGCTCTCCATCTCTGCTGAAGCCAGGAGAGTCTTGCTCTCCCGGCTTCAGCAAAAGGAACCCAAAGCCTTCAGAGCGCAGCACGAGTTCCCGCTGTGCTCCAAAGGCTTCAGACGGCTATCCCTGAAGCCTGGAGAGTGACACATAGCCTCTGGAGCGTGGAGGGAGCGCTCCCTCTGCGCTTCGGAGGCTTTGATTTGCTATCGCTGAAGCCAAGGAGACTGCATTCGTGCCATAGGATGCACACACATTTCCCCTTAATTTTTGGAGGGGAAAATGTGCATCCTATAGAGCGAAAAATACAGTATTTGAAACGGGCCAAAAAATTGCCGCATTTCCCCACAATGCAACATTGTGAGAAGCCGAGTCCACTTTATGTCTCCTTCACAGTGTTGCTATCAGCGGCCTTCTCTGCACAAAGCCCTCGGCATGCGCAGGTGGAAAAGGAATCGACGCTTAATGTGTAGCACGATTCAACTTTGGAACTCCCTGCCTATTGAAATCAGACAGCCGCCTTCACTGTTCTCTTTTTGGTGCCTGCTGAAAACATTTTTTGCTGGAACCAGTCTATCAAGACCTGCAGGCACTGACGTGTTTGCATCTTTTTGGCTGCTTATGTCAATCATGTGTAAATGTTTTCATTCATCTAGTTTTATTGATAATCTTGATATTTCGGCAGAAATGACGAGCAGAATCCGTGACCAGGGAAGCGATACGGCGCAGGAAGATTGGAAGAAGTTTAAAGAGTATCTAAAAAAATATTGTAAAATTAATGAAGGTTAGAAAAATGTTGGATTGGTTATTAAGGGGTTAAAAGCAGTAAGGGATAATTGGAAGAAAATATCTGTCACTAAAATTATTTTAAAAGTAGGGAAAGGATTTGCTGAAAATTGAATCTGAAATTAGAATACAGAAAGGGAAGGTATGAGGAAGTCGTGAAAGTAAGCTTAAAGAAAGTAAAAATTGAGGTTATACGTGTTTTATCTTTTGTATTTGTATGTTATGCCTTTTTGCTTTTTTTCTTTTTTCCTTTTTCGTTATGGTGTTTGTTAAAACTTCAATAAAAATTTAATTAAAAAAAAAAAGATAATCTTGATATTTCTCGCAAACTGCTTAGATGCTTCCCTACAATCAAGCAGAGTATGGATTTTGTTAAATAAAACAATCATAATCATGACTACTAATAATAACCTTCTAGAGCTGCAAAATCTACCATTGGAATTTAACTCCCAGTAAGTTAGCAAAAATACATAAAACGTTGTCAAATGTATGTAGGAAATGTAAGGAAAAAGAAGGCACCTTTTATCATATGTGGTGGACATAAAAGAATTTTGGGAAATGATTTATAATGAGTTGAAAAATATATTTTAAATAACTTTTTCTTTAAAAAAAACCCGAAGCTTTTCTTTTAGGAATCTTAGGTGCCGAAATCCCAAGAGAGCAGAAAAAATACTATTTATGTTTGCGACCACGGCTGCGCAGGTGTTATTGGCCCAGAAATGGAAAGAAGATAAAGTCCCTACCAGAGGAGAATGGCAGATTAAATTGATGGATTATGCCGAATTGGCAAAAATGACCAGAAGAATCAGAACAGTGAGCTTGGGTAGCTCAGTTGGTTAAAGAGCAGAGCTATTAACACCAAGGTTGCAGGTTCGATTCCCCGTATGGTAGAACTGCATATTCCTGCATTGCAGGGGGTTGGACTAGATGACCCTCAGGGTCCCGTCCAACTCTGCAATTCTCTGATTCCCATAAGAAGAACCTTGCTGGGTCAGGCCAATGGCCCATCTCATCCAGCTTCCCATTCTCACAGTGGCCAACCAGTTGCCCCAATGCGAAACATGCAAGCAAGACCTGACCACGAGAACACTCTCCCCTCTTGTGGTTCCAGAAACATTTCTTTCAATAACAGCCCTGGTTCATTCCTACCTGAGCTGGGGCGGCTGTCCGTCTCGAGCTGCTCGTCGGCCGTTTTCTCAACATCCAGCCTCAGGTCGCTGATCTGCTTGTCCAGTTCTTGCAACTGGTTTAACAAACCCGCGTCCCTCCGTCGCAGGCAATTCTAAAAAGCAACGAAAAGACAAAGAGACTCCTAAGTGATGATGGGAGAGGAAGAGAAAAATGCGCTGCAATAGCAGAGATCCGCAAATTTAGGACTGGGCTTGCTACTTTGCTTCAGGGACCCAAGTGTCAGGCTTTGGGGAACCAGGTTCCTCCCCCATGGAAGTAAACAAAAGATCAAATGAAAGGAACTTCTTACCAGTTAGAATCTTTAATAATCACAATGCAAGAACAAAGAACACGTCTCCTAGAAATGGCGGTGCTCCCAATTAAGGCTTACACCCCCTCCGTCCCTATTAAACTACGTCACTCCTACGCCTTGTAATCTGAGCTTGTACCCTCTGCGCTTTCTGTTCTGACACTTTCCGAGCTCTCCGTGTCCTTGGAGAAGGGGGTTGGATGCTTTCCAGGGATTGTGAACCTTTTAACTCTCTCTCTTCCACTGTTTCTTCTGCTAGCTGTTCCCCATGAAGCATTTCCCAGCTTCTGCCTTCTGAACTATGCCCCTCTGTAAACCACTCTTCCAAATCTATGCTGTCCTCCTGTTCCTGGGATGATTCAGGCCTTGTCTCCTCAATCCTTCCCTTCTGCACTCACCACACACCTGGGATTTGTTTGCAGGTGCGGTGTGGCCATTGTTCGAGGCCTGTGGTACAGTCCTACCCATGATGCTGCCCTCTAAAATCCTGCACGCCTTACTGACCAGGAAGGAGAGGGTTTCCTCTTCCTCCCACCCATGTCGTTATATCCCATCCAAAGCCATTTTTAAAAGAAACACCTTCTTTGCCCCTTGATCCTGGAAGCTTTATTATAATTATTATTATATTAAAGAATGTTATAACCCCACCTGTCAAAAGTGGCCCCCTGGAGAATGCGCCGGTTTTGGACCCAGTCTAACCCAGTTTCCTAACTGGATTCTCGTTGTACCCCCCCCCCTCCCCGGGCACGTCAACAGAATCGGAGCCCTATGTGTTTGATCCAATACAGTCTTCAGGAAAGTAAAGGACCCAGGGTCTGAACATGTCAGGCTACGAATGTGTTTTATAATGCAGGCATTGAGTTATAACCTCTGTTGCAATCTATATATGCTTATAAGCATGCAAGCAAGAGAGCTGGGTCAACGTTAAAAGGGGGATAAAGGCACACAGTAATTCCCTTCACTATCCTCAGTTACACAAATGCATTACTTTCTCAAAATAACAAGAGAGCTTAAGCAGATTTGCAAAGGTGTTCTTGATGCAAACTGCTATAAAGAATGTATTTAGAATACGATCATTAACCTCCGGGTCAGAGCAATCAGTTTTCCTGCTGAATCTCATAATTATATCTCTCCATCATCTTGCCTGACTACATTGCTTTGTACGCATCATTGTTTTGCTGCATTTCATATGAAGGGAAAAAAATATGTTACAGGGAACGGTGGAAAATTCATTAACTTATCAGGACTGATCTGATGACAAAAAAATGTCAACGCCTTTGCTTGCGGGATGTTGTCATTCAGGTTCCACACAACTAAAATCAGCTAGCAGTCTCAGGCCATTTCTATGCCACTGTGAATAGATCCAGCATGCGTCTTAGTGGTTAGAGTGTTGAACTAGGACCTGGGAGGCCGCAGGTTCGAATCCCCACTCAGTCACATGAAGCTCACTGGACAACACCGGGCCAGTTACTGTCTCTCAGCCTAACCTAATAATTTAATAATAATAAGTTTATTATTTATATCCCACCCATCTTGCTGGGTTGCCCCAGACACTCTGGGAGGCTTCCAACACATATAAAAACACAACAAAACATCAAAAATTAAAAGCTTTATGATATAGGGCTGCCTTCAGATGTCTTCTAAAAGGTGTGTAGCTCTTTATTTCCTTGACATCTGATGGAAGGGCATTCCACAGGGTGGGCGCCACTACCAAGAAGGCCCTCTGCCTGGTTCCCTGTAACCTCACTTCTCGCAGTGAGGGAACCACCAGAAGGCCCTCAGCGCTGGACCTCAGTGTCCAGGCTTAACAATGGGGTTGGAGATGCTCCTTCAGATATACAGGGCCGAGGCCGTTTAGGGCTTTAAAGGTCTGCACCAACACTTTGAATTGTGCTCGGAAACGTACTGGGAGCCAGTGAAGATCCCTTAGCACTGGTGTTATATGGTCGCAGCGGCTGTTCCTAGTCACCAGCCTAGCTGCTGCATTCTGGATTACGACTTTTTGATTCTGAAATTTGTTCTGATCGTACAGATAAAATATCACAGATAGAATTCTGAAGGCTATGTTGGTAGTGTGTGAAAACAGGTAAGGTCAAAGGATCCCCAGGTATGCGCCTCCAGATGCTGGAGAAACATAGCTGCCAACTTTTCCCATTTTTTAAGGGAAATTTCCTTATTCCGAATAGGATTCCTCGCAAGAAAAGGGAAACGTTGACAGCTATGTAGAAATCAGGTGCCATCATGGCATCTTCACTTGGTAGCAAGTGGCCGATAGCCAAGTGCAAAATGCACCTAGCAGCTGGTGAATTTCGAACAATGACGTACGACACAAGATTATTATCCCTCCCTCTGTTTCTGATCTTCAGGCTGCGCATGCTGTTGCATTTGTGTCCAAAATGCACACCCCATGCTCAAGAAGGGGGCATCAGCATGCTTGGAAGAACCCCAAAGGTTTCTAGAAGATAGAAAATCATCTTAAGAAAATTATTGCTGGCCGGCTGTTTGGGGACAGAGATGGAACAAGTGCGGGAGGAGGGAAAATGCAACGGGTGGAATCCTGAACAGCAGCATTCCATGCTGCAATATTTGGTTGCAGCTGCTATTTATATTATGCCAAATGATGCTTTCCAGAGTCAAATGCACAAAAGAGCTAAATTAAGACTGAAAGGGAACTTCGCGATACAAAGCATCTTGCAAAATGAAGACCTGAATATATTAGATTTCCCAGACTTGAGTTTCTTTTGTAGGCTATTGGCAAGGAGGTCTATCGCCTCTCTAATGATGCCAAAATTTCCTTTCTAGTAGTGCCAGTGTCCACTCCAGCAGGCACAAGACCAGGATTACGTGACGGGCAGAGAACTTTGGCAAATCCCACACAGCATCGCTGATGCTTCGTCTAACTGGACTAGGAAGGCGACCAAACTCTTGCTTACTCAAGTAGCGCAAGTCCCAAGATTTGGTGCTTTCTCCAGGACTCCCCAGCTAATAGGATTACATGGTCATGTTCTCAAATCCGATCATGGTGGCCCTTTCTAAGTAAACAGACAACTGTCTGGGAATCTGAGGAACTGAGGCAGACAGTGGGGACTAGAGATGAAGTTCGAGGCCGAACAGACCAAATAAAAGCTGACAAAACGCTGGGTCCAGATAGCCTCTACTCAAAGAGTCCTCAAAGAACTCAAATGTGAAATTACTGCTCTTCTAACAAAATATGCAACTTGTCCCTCAGATCAGCCTCCACACCTGAGGACTGGAAAGTAGCCAATGTAACACAAATTTTTAAAAAAGGGATCCAGAGGGAAACGGCAGGTTTGCTAGCTTAATGTCCATCCTGGGAAAACTGATGGGATGGGGGGTATTGGCAAAGATTAAAAAAAGCCAAGCATATGGAAGAACAAGCCTTGCTGAAGCAGAGCCAAGCATGGCTTCTGCAAGGAGAAGTCCTGTCTCACAAACCTATTAAGAGTTCATTGAAAGTGTCATCAACCAAGTGAAGATGCCAGGATGGTGCCTGACGTCTCCACCATCTGGAGGTGCGTGCCTGGGGATGACTGGGTCTTGACTGTTTTCACACACTAATACCCCATCCTGTAGAATTCTATCAGTTATATTTTATCTGCACAATCAGAAGGAATCTGAGGAACCAAAATTGTGTTGTTTTTTGGTGCAGCCTGAGCAAAAGCAGTGAACAATGTCATAGTTATTTTCTGTAGCTTGTCTTCACTTACCCCTCCCCGCTGCCCTGCTCACAGTCGTAAAGAATATTCTTATGCTACGAATGCTTTAAGTTATCATCAAAGCTCTTAACCTCGCTCAGGGTTGTCATCTGAACTAGCCAGGTGTTTAACTGATAAATCAATCACAGCCAGTCCATCATTTGAAAAATAAGACTTTAGAGCCGTGTTGTCCAAAAACAGCAACTAGACATCCCGTTTTGGTGACTGTAACCTTGGTTTAAGGAGCCATTTGGCGCCTAGCTTGTATACTTGAGTTTCTAACACTGGCTCATCGTGTGCTAGTCCTGGCCTTCAACAGAAACTACTGGAGAGAAAAAGGTTGAGGCTGTACAGTGTGGTTAAAAGTGTCAGACAACTACAGTAGTACCTCGGGTTAAGTACTTAATTCGTTCCAGAGGTCCGTTCTTAACCTGAAACTGTTCTTAACCTGAAGCACCACTTTAGCTAATGGGGCCTCCTGCTGCTGCAGCGCCGCCGGAGCACGATTTCTGTTCTTATCCTGAAGCAAAGTTCTTAACCTGAGGTATTATTTCTGGGTTAGCGGAGTCTGTAACCTGAAGCGTATGTAACCTGAAGTGTATGTAACCTGAGGTACCACTGTATCTGACTTTTAGAAGACATCTGAAGGCAACCCTGTTTAGGGACGTTTTTAATGATTGATGTTTTATCGTGTTGTCAATATTCTGTTGGGAGCCACCCAGAGTGGCTGGGGGTACCCAGCCAGATGCACGGCGTATAAATATTATTATTATTATTATTATTAGACTAAGACCTGGGTGACCGTGAGCCTGCCACACCCTCTCAGTCTACAGCACCTCACACGGTTGTTGTGAGAATAAAATAAGAAGTATGGATTACCGAATGCACCACCCTTAAGCGCCTTGGATATAAAGGCTAATAATAATAATAATAATAATAATAATAATAATAATAATAATAATAATAATTTATATCCCGCCCTCCCCAGCCGAAGCTGGATGATAAAACATTCTAAAATCATTTCATTATAAGATCAGTTCAAATCAAATTAATGGCAACCATTGGGCTAGAGTTCTGTGAGGATTG